GAATTACGACGCTGCCTCGGTGTCGCGTCGTGGTACCGCCGTTTCGTCCCGAACTTTGCAGCCATCGTAGAGCCGATATCCACACTCCTCCGGAAAGGTAGGAAATGGAGTTGGGACACGGAACAGGAGCAAGCTTTCGAGACTCTGAAAACCCGACTCATCGAAGCCCCAGAACTTGCGTGCCCTGACTTTACGCAGAAATTTTCCCTGCAAACCGACGCTAGCGATCACTGGTTAGGAGCAGTCCTACTACTAAGCATCGACGGGGTAGAACGAATCATAGCTTATGCCAGTCGACGATTAACCTGAGCCGAGGAAAATTACTCAGTAACAGAAAAGGAGTGCCTTCCGATCGTATGGGCCATTCGAAAAATGCGTTGCTTCCTTGAAGGGTATCGGTTCAAAGTCGTGACGGACCACCTGGCTCTAAAATGGCTAAACTCAATCGACAACCCGAGCGGGCGAATCGCCAGATGTGCACTCGAACTACAACAATATCAGTTCGACGTTCAATATCGACGAGGGAAATTTAACATAGTAGCCGACGCCCTTTCCCGTCAGCCCTTGGACACGGTACAACAAGCCAACGTAGAGCCATCCCAATGCAAATGAGTGCGCAAGATGATGCTTCAAGTAACTCAGGAACCGGAAAAATTCCCAGACTACCGGATCGAAGGAGGTCAGCTGTACCGGATGACGGGGAATCACCCCCTAGGAGGAAGACCAGATCCCGTGGAAGCTATGCGTTGGCCAGGAGTACCGCCAACGAGTCCTACAGGAGTGCCATGATCATCCGACAGCTGGACATCTCGGGACACGGAAAACCGGCAAGCGCGTAGCGCAAAAGTATTACTGGCCAGGACTTTTAAGGGAAGTCACAAAGTACGTACGACGGTGCCCCACCTGCCAAAAATACAAGGTAAGCCAACTTAAACCCGCCGGCCAGATGTCAACACGCCAAGTCGAAGAACCGTTCAGGGTAGTATGTGCGGACTTCATGGGCCCCTTTCCACGTTCTCGTCATGGAAATACCATGCTACTGGTATTTTTGGATGCATTCACTAAATGGGTAGAATTAGTCCCACTCCGGAAAGCGACGACACCCCATCTTGAACGATCGTTCCGGAATCGGAATTAAAACGTTCTGCAACAACCTTGGGATGGAACTTCAGCACACAGCTCCCTACACTCCACAACAAAACCCAACGGAGAGGGCAAACAGGACCATAAAAAACGATGCTGGCCCTGTACTTGGATGGAGCTGAACAAAACACCTGGGACGAGCTACTCCCCGAACTCTCGCTGGCCATAAACTCAAGAGTTTCGGACACCACAGGGTTCAGCCCCGCCTTCATCATGCAAGGGAGGGAACCGAGACTACCCAATACCTTGTTCGATCAAGCCACGCCGACTCACAGGTCGAATCAGCACCACCAGGAAAGAAGGCGGAACAGATGCAGGAATTGTTCCGGATCGTCCATGACAACAGCGAGCGAGCATCCAACGAACAAAGACGGCACTACAATCTCAGACGCCGGGAATGGCGATCAGCCGTGGGATCGCTGGCACTCCTCCGCCGCCACGTACTATCCAAGGATTCACCGCAAAGCTGGCGGCCAAATACGATGGACCATACAAGGTTCACAAGTTTTTGTCTCCTAATCTTTTACAATTACAGGTGCCTGGGAGTCGACGACGACGCACAGCCGGACTAGGTAACGTAAAGGAATACCATTACGAGGATATCGACGACGACGAGCCACCCGCTGCCGCGGAGGGGACCAAGTCTTGAGAAAAGGGGGCCACTTGCTGGTAGTTGCGACTACCCAACGTCCCTCCCCATCAAGGGGGAAATCAGTGACTGGCCACTCAAAACTTTCCTTTTCTTTCTTATTTACTATTATCACTAAAACCTTGTTAGAATAAGAAAATACGAGTTACGTAGGAAGAAGCTAGGTTTAGTTTAGTCATTCGCATTTAAGTTATACTAAGTTTCTTAACCCGCAGTGCCATGAGTTCAAGAGACCCGAGACGCCCAGTGACGGGCACCGTAGGCGAAGACGAAGACGTGGAAATGCAAGAGGTACTGAAACAATCGATGCAAGACCTACTGAGCGATCCACTGTGGGAGCCAGACCACCTGATCCTGGAGGCTGAGGCCACCTGGAGGACGTCCTCGACCTCTGCGTCCCACCAGGGGACCCGCTGGGAAGCATAGGCGATGGAACCAGACGGCAGATTTGGGGCCCGAACCCGCCGCGGCAGCGGTCTCCTGCTGGCCAACTGCAGAACGCCGCAGTACCACCTAGCTCCAGCGAAACATCCAGCGGGACATCAAGCGGCGCCATCCCAGGCAGTTCGGGCGGATCCTCGCGTGACGCTTTGTTACCCGGATCTAGCGGATCCTCTTGCGACGCGCTGCTACCCAGCTCGGGTGGTTCCTCTCTCGACGCCACACTGCCCAGCGCAGACAGGTCTGGCAGGGACGCCATGCTGCCCTCCATCAGGGGAGTGGCCAGGACGACCGTCGAGATGCCCAACCTACAACCACGGTACGAAGACATCTCCAGTGCCGACGAAACAGAAACCACGGCCCGGTCGTTCGCCACAGCGCATAGGGGTTCCGAAGCAGGAACCCGGCTGTCCAGCGCCACCACGGATGAGGTCATAGAGGTATCGGATTCCGACGACCGAAGCACGCCCCTGTGGAGGGAGATATAACCACGGCCAGAGACTCCACCGCCATCTTACCAGGAACTGTTCGTGCCAGGCCCCTACGAAAGCCCCCGCACCATGGCCAAGAAGCACCTGCCAGTATTCCGCGCAGTTTCGTAGTAGGTTTCGCTTGCCAGAATTAGCCGCGACTGTGCATTTGCGCATTAGTTAGGGCTGGCAGTATTACCTCCGATTTTGCTGTCTGTGAGTATTCCGGGCATTTTCGTAGTAGGTTTCGCTTGCCAGAATTAGCCGCGACTGTGTCGTCTGCGAGGGCATTTGCGCATTAGTTGGGGCTGGCAGTATTACCTCCGATTTTGCTGTCTGTGAGTATTCCGGGAATTTTCGTAGTTGGTTTCGCTGGTCAGAATTAGCTGCGACAGTGCGGTCGGCGAGATACCCCTCCTCAACTGTCTCAAAGATAAAAAAATTTATCTGATGAGGACTCTGGGCGGACTGAGACGCCGACCCCAGCAAAACGCATCCTTATAGGGTCTTCCCACACAACATTAAAGCACATTCAACATCCGTTGAACAAACGCTCCATAAGGTTTTGCCGTTCCGAATTTTCCCAAATGGACCGGCGTTAGTTCAACATTAAAATCTAACCACGGTTTTTTTGGCGATAGTTAGGCGATAGTTTTTCGGTGCAACTCTGATTCTTCTTCTTAAGGGGTTATATACCTTTTTTTTTTCAAAAAAACGAAACATTTTTTTTTTGCTGAATCCTAAAGTATATCCCCTAGAGAACATTTTCCAAAATTTTCATAGAGATCCGAATAATAGTTCGATAGGAAAACAGCGTTTTGAGGCGCGGTTCGTCACGGCTGCATATACTCAACGTAAAACTTTGAATGCGATTATCTCAAAGTCGTATTTTTCCAAAAGTGCCTTTGCGGTGACCGCGATTGCACAAGAACTATTTGATCGATCTTCTTCATTTTTTTTTTTTAAATTATTCGTAATGATTGTGCCGAGTTCGTGAACGATTCAGTTTTGCAGATTGCATTTTGATTTTGCAGATCAGAATTTTTTAATAAAATTTTTAGGACTCGAAAAATCAACTTTTTGGAAAAATCGTTACTGTATGCAGAAAAAACCAAATATTCTTGAAAATAATCGTTCACGAACTGGATATAATACTATACTAATAGAAATTGTTTGGTTTTTTTTATTTCAGTTGACCTGCTGGACTTCCATCGTGGTCACCGCAAGCCGCTATAAAAAAAAAAGGGTTCCGAGAGAATTGTTATAACTTCGTTAATTATTTATATTTTTTCAAGAACAAACGCTTGTTGTTTCGGTAAAAACATGTACTATCAATAAATAATACCTTCAGTGTCATAAAATAATTGCTACACACCTGAAAAAAAAATCGAAAGTTCCCTCAATTTTTTCGCGGCCAAAAATACTTCTAGTTGATGTATCGTTACGAAATTTATACCAAAAATCAAGAAAAATGTTATAAGTATGTCCACAAAAAATGGACCATATAGCACGTCTATATCATATAGCTGCCATAGGAACAATCTGTAAAAAATTAACATTTAGTATGAAAAACTTTTTTGTTTTTCAAAATATCTAAACCAAATTCAAATTATATGTTTGGCGTATGTTTATATATTCTTAGCAAATTTGGTTTAAATCGGATATCTATATCTTATAGCGCCCATACAAAATTTTAATAAAATCATTGTTTTCCAAGACCTACATTTAATTTTTTAAACTCTTAATGAGAACATTGGTGAAATATAAGTGCCGAAAAATAATTAAAAAATTATTAACTTATATATTGCGTATTTTATTGGTCTAGTAACAAATGTACACAGCTTTAGTGGGGGGGGGGAGGGTAAGATTAATTCGGTGCAAAACTGCCCACTTAAAAAAAAATGTTTTGGCGAAACGGCTAGAGTTAGCTTAATGAATTAAATACCATATAATGAAATAACATTTGGACTTTTTTTTTAATTTTTGTATTAAAAAAAAAATATTTACAGGCTTACGATAAAAAGCGAATCTCCTGAGTCCCCAAACCCGATTTTTAACTAAAAAATTAAGTTAATTTGTTTAAAAAAATAGAATAAAAAAAAAATAAATTAAAAAAAGCTTTACCTGAGTACCCGTAGAATTAGTTAAAGAACATATGTTCCAAATTTCAAATCCATTGGTAATGTAGATTTCGAATTATCGTGTACACCGATATTTCAAATGGCTTTTTTCAGGAGAGCGCTTTAAACTTTGTGATACTCATACATCGAACATACATCTGCTTTCGTGTCACTCTATCGAAATCTGCGCCCTCCAACGCAAATTTGTTCATAAAGCAGCTGTAAAAATATAAATTATTATAAGTATATACATAAGTATTAAAAAACATACGAAAAATATACATACCTTTGACGGATGACGTAATAAGCATCTCTCGAATGGACATTTTGGACTCTGTCCCAAACCAGGACCATTGGCGCGCCACTTCGTCGGAAATTAAGTCTCGCCAGCATAAATAAATATAAATCTAGTCAATATTAGTTGATTAGTAAGAGATTGTACACATTAATCAATTTAAATTTAACACTTACCGTTGAAAACACGTGCGTCTTGTAAAAAACTGTTCACTCACGTCCGCACAACTCGCCGGTCAAAAGGAAAAGAGTCGCAACGGGATAAATTCCACAAACCAAAAGAGTTAAAAGATGATTCAATAATATTTGCCTCTCGCTCATTTGCAGCGAAATAACAAAAAACAGGCAAGCGACAAAAGAAGTAAGGAGAAGAACCGTTCATCGAGTTCTAGAAATTTCGTTGACGACAAGATTTTTAACGCGTGCAGTGCGTTTTATTGTCCGTTAGCGGGACATTTGCGGCATTTGCACGGGTCCCAGTGTTCGCCCGTTTCAGTATCCGTTTTCGTTTCAGGTTTCGACAATTAGGCAAACCTATTGCGGTAAGTCCGCTATTTGGCCGCCCACTGTACGTTTCAGTGTCCGTTAGCAATACGTTTTCGGCATATTCACGAGCAACGCCACACGGTTTGCTTTTCGTCCGTTTGCGCGTCCGTTTTTGAGCATTCCCCGAACCTAATGCGGAAACTCCGATTCTTTGTTCGCATTTAATATTTTTAGCGGACATTTCTCGGATCCATCCGCACCGAGACCGCTCTTTGCCTGCTGGGAAAGAGCGAATGCCCCGATGAGTGTGTATAGGTGGTATAGGCTTCCCAAATCTATAAAATAAAGTAGAGGTAGGCGTTTTATATTAAATAGTAGCAATTGGGGACACTTTGGGGCAAGAATATACAAAAAAAAAAAAACGCCAACAACTATTTTGGGCATGCTTGTAGCTTTGGTGCCACATTTTAAATTCCTAATTTCATTTGTTCCTCGCCAAGTATGTATACACTTTCGCAGTGTTGGTCAAATTAAGAAGAAGAAATCAGAGTTGCACCGAAAAACTATCGCCTAACTATCGCCAAACAAACGGTCGTTAGATTTTGAGGCAAGAATATACAGAAAACACTAACAACTATTTTTGACATGTTTGTAGCTTTGGCACCACATTTAAAATTTTTTTTTCCATTGTTCTTCGCCAAATTTGTTTACATTTTCGTAGTGAATGGTCACTAAGAAATCAGAGTTGCACTGAAAAACTATCGCCTAACTATCGCCAACAAACCGTGGTTAGATTTAGATGCACTCTAACCGCGGACCAACATGAGAAAATTCGGAACGGCATAACCTTATGGACCGTTTGTTCAACGGCCGGTGTGTGGGAAGTCCCTATAACAGTGAATAATTTAAAATTCACTATGAAAATGTAAACAAAGATAGCGATGAACAATTGAAATCATTTAGATTAAGTGCGGATAAAATCCTACGCATTGCTACTGTTAAACAGCCGAAATAGTTCATAAACTCTTCCAAATCGGCCTGTTCAGCCATCTATGTTTACGGGTTAGAAGGGGCACTGCGAAAAATCCCAACTGTTTCACAAAGATGGACTATATGGGAAGACAACATATTGGAAAACTGTATTTGTATATATATTTAAATATTAAAAATGTAATCTTAGTGTGAACGGGGCATTAAGTTATTAATTATATCAATTTTCTGCTATCTTGACTAATTACATTGAGTTCTTTTTATTTTTTAATAAGCGACGTTGTTTTCCCGGCTGAAGTCATTCAATTTATAGAACGAACTATGGGTAGAAGGAAGTCAAAAAGGAAACCACCGCCAAAAAGAAAAAACATTGAACCCCTTGACCAACAATTTAACTGCCCGTTCTGCAACCATGAAAAATCGTGTGAAGTTAAAATGTAAAATGTTTTTTTTTTGTTTAGTGTAATATTTGATTATTCTATACGATACATTATTTTCATACATACTACATATTGCATGATACGTACATACATAAGTAATTTAATAGAAATTATTTATTATGTCTCGACTACCTAATTATATTCAGATGTATGTATATATGTACAATGTACATTGTAAGTACATGTACATATAACATATGTACATACATACAGTGGATCGCAGCTTATTTCGTGAAGTCAAGAAAATTAAATTTCAAACGTCCTTGTGGCTAAACGATTGAAGATAATCCAAATATTTAAACGCAGTACTTTTAGTCCTTGTACTAACATTTATACTGAACAAAGACAATTTGGTAAAAATTTCATGAAAATCGGACGACTATATCATATAGCTGCCATAGGAACGATCAGGAAATTAATAGAAAAAAAAATTATAGCTTCGTTGTTTTTCAACGTATTTTTATCTACTCTGAGAAATAAGCTTATTTTGTTATTCTAGAATTTTGGTATAAATTTCATTAAAATCGGACAACTATATCATAAAGCTGCCATATAAACCGATCGGTAGATGTAGAGAAAATGTAAAACTGGGAATATAAAACTGTAACTGTCAAACTGTAAACATAATAAGTATAGGTAAAATGTTATGAAACTCTGTTTAGTGTCTGTTTTCTGCATTATAATTTATAATATAAATATGAAAACCAATCTGGAAGGGTATATAAACTTCGGCGTGCCGAAGTTAGCTTCCTTTCTTGTTATTAATTTAATATAAACAATTTTGTGTGACCTCTTATCTCATTCTGAATACCTTTCAGAAGATATGTCAATTAAATTAACTAGTTGTTTTTAGGTTTCTAGATTAATTTTAATCAATTCCCCTAAGGCACTACTTTGTGATAATTTTGGTCAAAAATCTTAATTTTTGGGATGGCTAGTCTAATATTTGCTAAAAATTTTAAGGGGTGGGTAAGGTTAATTCGGTGCAAAAATGCCCACTTTTCAATAATATGTTGTGGCGATAACGTTAGCTTAACGAATTAAATACAATGTAATAACACAACATTTGAACATTTTTTGATAAATTTTGTATTGAAAAATATTTAGAGGTAGAGGAGTTATAGGGGAAAAAAGTTGGTTTGCGGTGTACATCCTAACAGTCCACAGCAGCGATGGGCACGAGATCCAACGGTTTGAGCAGCAGCTCGCTGAAAAAAAAAAACAACAACAACCCCCAGCGTTGCTACGCGTCGCAGCCACGCGCCACACAGAATGTGAGTACACTGACAAAAACTTTTTGAGTAGATCAATATCTTCAGCCATTTTTGCGTGCATTCATGTCCGCCTAAGAAAAACGAGTGTAAAAGAAATCCAAACGTTTTTTCTTTAGTGCAGAAGTCAACGCCAGCCGCGGAATGCTGGCCCGCCGAAAAAAGTTAACGGTTTAAGCAGAGTGAGCAAGTTGAGCCACGGCGTGCCCATTGCTGGTCCACAGAATCATACGATCTAAAAAAAATATACCACATTCGTTAAAGGATAAGTGTCCCGAGGTATTCACAAAGCGTTTTTATTTTTAAAAATTTTTCCCGATTTTGTATCAAAATTTGAAGTCAAAATCCCGATTTTTGACTCCAAAAATTAGTTAATTTGTTAAATAATAAATATAACAAAATTAAAAATTAAAAAAAGCTCGACGTGAGTACCTGTAGATTTATCTAAAGAAGTTATGTTCCAAATTTCAAACCGATTGGTTCAGTAGATTTTGAGTTATCGTGTACACCGATTTTTAAAATGGCATTTTTCAGGAGAGCGCTTTAAACTTTGTGATTCTCATGCATTGAACACCAACCGACCTTCGTTCAACTCCGCATAACTTCGTCAATTTTACTATGATCAATGTAAAAGTTGGACACAATATTCTTTCAAAATCAAAAATAAAAAAAAATTTACGAAAAAAAAAATTAAATAAATGTTTGGTTTCTAGCTCAATATTAGGTCTCCGCCAATAATTTTAGTTAAACTTTTACCCATCAGACAAAGACCGTTCTCAGTGTGGATTGATACGAGAAATGTCAAATACAAATTATGAAATAAGAGTTATTTTACAATTATATAGAAAAAATAGGAAATTAATTCTTATTATTCAAGTTTTATAAAAAAGTTGTATAATAAATCTTATTTTTCAATTTGTATATAAAAGTTGAGTTATAACAATTATTTGCAATTTTTAAAATAATAATTGAAAATTAAAATTATTCTCCAATTTTTATTTTTAAAAATTGAAAATAAAAATTGAATCGCAATAACTTTTCAACGGAGCGGTATATCTTAAAGATTGACATATATAATTAATCTACGCTTCAATACCTTTCATTTGATGTATATATTGTGGTTATTGCATGTGTACAAATATGTACAGCTGTGTTCACTGAAATAGCAGTGCGACAGAGGAACAACTTCAAAACGTTTTTTTGTACATATTCCTTTTTGCAAGCTGATCTATTACACATTGTTTTTGTAAAATGGAACATAAAGATAAGAATCGAGAAAAAATTCCGTTAGATTTGCTCTATTTTTATGTTTTATTGATATTTTTTCACATATGCAGCTCGTTTTGGCCGATCACTGAAATAGCAGTTTTTAATTTTCTTTCGCAAAAAGTGACGAAATTTCTTTTAATTTTGTAAAAAATGAGTTTAATTATGGTCGTTATTATAGTTTATACTATAATACACCTTTACAACGGAAAAAAATTATTTTAGTGGGCGCAGGACCTCACTGCTCCATGAGAGAAAGGTATCAGATTACTTAGCCTAGAAAGAAGGGCAAACCATGTAAAGAGACTCCAAATCTTTCAAATTGTTCTTTTAAAATAGTTTATAAATCATAAAATATGAACCGAACCCAAAAAAACCGAGGTACGATTCGCAAAACCACAATTGTACAGGCTCGACGCGTACTTCGCTTCAGCAAAGCTCGTCCTTTTGCATCCTCTAGGGATATATGAGCAGGAATTGGCATGGGAATCAGTCATGGGACCATTCGCCGGGGACTTATTGAATCAATTTTAGATTCGCGAAGTCCATGGAAAATGTCACTGCTTGGTTAAAGTCATATCAAGGCCAAATTGGAGTTCGCCAATAGCCACTTGAACTGCCACTATTCAAATGGCGTAATATCCTTTGGACAAATGAGTCCAAACTGGTTTTATTTGGTGGAATAGGACAAGACAATATGTCCGTCGAACTCCAAATACATAGTACCCCCCAAACCATACGCTGAAGACAGTAAAACACGGTGGCCTAAAAGTCATGGTATGGGTATACTTTTCATACAACGTTATAGGTTCCGTATATATGATCTGCGGGATCAAAGACCATTATGTTTATGTCTAAATATTAAAAACTGTCTTGCAGCCGTATCCTGAGGAAAATATGCCATTAATTTGGACATTTCAGCAGTACAGTGACCCTAATCATACCAGCAAGTTAGCCAAGGAGTGGGTTCTTAATGAAAAAGTGGATGCAATGCCATGGCCTGCACAGTCCCCGGATATAAATCCGATCGAAAACTTATGGAGGACATCAAGGGCTACGTATTAAAGAAGTTTCCGACTTCTAAGATGCAGCTTTGGCAATTTGTGCAGGAGGAATGAGGCCATATTCCCCTCAAGCGTTGCTAAGACTTGGTGGACTCCATGCCACCCAGGTATGAGGCTATGATAGCTTCTAAAGGCTATTTAACAAAATATAAGATCATAGTCAATTAGAATTTAAGAAGAAATAGGTTTCTTATACGATATTTTTAAATTTATGAAGAATTTTAGTTTTTCACTGCTATTTCAATGATCTTCTAAAAGGTTTATGTTACCTAAATTAAATGATTGTGGTGTTGTTAATAATTAAATACACTAAGCCCTTATGAAAAAAAATTTTATGAAAATAGTGTTTGTAACAGTATTTTCCAATCTTAAACGTCGTGGGGCACTGCTATTTCAGTGAACACAGCTGTACATGTACATAAGTGTATATAATAAAAAATTCACCGTTTAACAAACAAACATGAATACTGAGATAATTTCCCTGGAATTTCTTGAACTGAAATTGGCGGAAATGGAAATTAATAGATACTCTCCCAAGTCACTAGACCCAAATGTGAACATAATGGAGTATTGGGAGAGTAAAAAATACACTTACATGCCCTTATACTCTGGCTAAGGTTGTTCATTGTGTTCCTGCTACGGAGGTTTCTGTAGAAAGAGCCTTTTCGGCGCTGAAGCTAGTGGTATCTGACTTAAGGTGCAAGCTTTCCTCTGACTCGATTAAAAAACTGATGATTTTAAATTTAAATAAAATGGGAAATAAAAAAAAATAATATATATATATATATATAATAAAAACCAACGAATAAGGAACAAACAACTACACTCTCTGAAAAAAAACGTTAAAATGTTAAATTGACCGGTGCTGTTGCCAAGGTATTTTAGTATCCTTGTTTATTTGGGGAATGTAATAAGAATTACGTATAGTACGCATATTTTTATGCATATGCAATAACCACAATATATACATCAAACGAAAGGTATTGAAGCATAGATTAATTATATATGTCAATCTTTAAGATATACCGCTCCGTTAAAAGGTTATTGCGATTCAATTTTTATTTTCAATTTTTAAAATAAAAATTGACACGTAACTATTATTTTCAATTTTTATACCCTTGCAGGGTATTATAATTTCAGTCAGAAGTTTGCAACGCAGTGAAGGAGACGTTTCCGACCCTATAAAGTATATATATTCTTGATCAGCATCAACAGCCGAGTCGATCTAGCCATGTCCGTCTGTCCGTCCGTCTGTCCGTTTCTACGCAAACTAGTCCCTCAGTTTTAAAGCTATCTAAATGAAACTTTGCATATAGTCTTCTATATACTCTCACTGCTATATATGTCGGAACGGGCCGGATCGGACGACTATATCATATAGCTGCCATACAAATGT